GTCCCTAAAGAGATTTGAGAGTGTGTGTCTGTGAAGTCCATTTGTACTCTTTGTCTGTACATTAATGTTCTTGCTATCAATTCCAGTTCTCCACTACTGAATTATTAATTCTGCAGTGAGATTTTTTTTTTTCCTTCTTACTCTTCATTGACTTTCATGCTTGATTTATTCGTCTGTGCAGTTTGAAACTGGAGCATAGGAATTTTGACTAGTATTAATGGATCACGTGTATGACCTCAGTGGTGGCTAAATAAACTTTTTTTAATTGGGAAAAGCACATCTCTCAAAGTACTCACAGTTTCTCAGGTGAAAGGTAGTCCATTTGTGAATGTACATTATCCTCAGAGGCACATTGCTTGTTTTTTAACACAACTGGGGTGGTCAGACAGCTAGTGGAGTGATTACCCGTGTGCTCTGGAGGCAGTCCTGTGGGTAGCGTGAAGGGAGGAGGGAAAAGCTCGTTTGTAGATTCTCCTGCTAATGTGGTTTTGTAACTGAACGCTCTCCTGGCGGAGAGCCTGCCTTTGATTAGAAAGCATTCCTCTCAGTTGTTCTTGTAGGTACTGATGGTCTGCCATGTTTTGTTCTTTGTGTTTTTGTGTGTGCTTTCTCCTGCAGGGAGATAATAAGAGGTAAATTGCGTATCCTTTCAGCAGCCTTCTGTTAAACTTGGAATACCACGGTTCAAGCAATTGAACAGATGGATAATGGAGACTGGGGATATATGGTAAGTGAGCCTGTGTGAGTGTGCGCTGTGTGGTACAACTGGGCTTTCAAGGTCCTGCAGTAAGAATCCTTCCAGATCTGTCTTGTGCAGATCCAGAGCTTCAGTCATGTGAAAAGAAAACCTGTGCATGTTACGACAACTTACTTAGATTCTGTGGAGTGCATCATCTCACATGCTATTTGTGGGGAGAGCGCAGACTTGTCTTTTCTAGGTACAATCAGTGAGTGCTTAACTGATGTCTTAAGCTCACTGTTACTGTTTTTCTAACACACAAAGGCTGAAGGTGCTCTCTACATATAATTTCAAGGACTTTATAGTTTTATTTATAAAGAAAAATATTTTTCCTTGCAAACCCTGTTTCAAACTAGACAAATGCATCTTATTTTTATCCTCTCCTCTTTCGCTAAACATTCTGCTGCCGTGCATATGTCTCTTTTCTCTGGCTGGCCTCAGTCCTGGTTGGTAGGGTTGGTGGCCAGATGGGATTTATGTTCCTTTCTCTCTTGCTTCCTCATGTGCTATCTGGAAGCTGATGCAGACTGGTTTGTGCTCTGCTGCTCCTCTTCTATGTGGCATGCTAATTTGCTAATAAATATTTCTTTTTAGAGGTAAAAGCTGAAAGTTCTTTTTTGTTTGCTTGTCTTAATGATGCCTCTTAACCAGTGCATGGATTATTTTGATGGTGAGTTCTTGGTCTTGTGTCTAAACTTGCACTGTTATCCTCTTTTGAGGGAGAGAGAGGGTCTTAAGACTTGTTCAGCTGATTTTTTTGGGTTTTGTTGTTTGTTTGTTCTAGAATGAGAGACAGATTGTGAAAGCAAGGAACACTGATGGGCCTCATTCAGACTAACTTGTTCTTCAGGAAATCTCTCTGTTCTCATTTGCCCATCTGTAGAATAGGAAAAAACTTGTTGCCCAAATGCAAAACTTGCTTCTGTGACAGTAGCTCGGTTGTTCAGATTTCTAAAGCATTCTGGAAATGTGCGTTCTGAATGTTAAGTATTATCCTGTCTAGTTGCCAGTTGTGCCTTGTTGCTAGGTGGCTTGGATTTGTTTGGGTTTAAACACTGCTTAAAGGCTTCGAATGGGAGAAGCGTGATTCTCTCCAGAGCCTGCAATTTTCAACCAGTATTTGCCATGTGTGTCAGTGAGGTGACTGAATCTTCTTATGGTGGCTTGATAAACTCTGCAATTTCTCTCTTTCTAGATGACTGATCCAGTCACGCTAAATGTGGGTGGACACATGTACACGACATCCCTCACAACTCTAACGAGATATCCTGACTCGATGCTTGGGGCCATGTTCAGGGGAGACTTCCCCACTGCCAGGGACTCTCAGGGCAATTACTTTATTGACAGAGATGGACCACTTTTCCGTTATGTTCTTAACTTTTTAAGGACCTCAGAGCTCACTTTGCCACTGGACTTCAAGGAGTTCGACCTACTGCGGAAGGAAGCGGACTTCTATCAGATTGAACCGCTAATTCAGTGTCTTAATGACCCCAAGCCGCTGTATCCCGTGGATACCTTTGAGGAGGTGGTGGAGCTGTCCAGCACTCGGAAGCTTTCCAAGTACTCCAACCCGGTGGCCGTAATCATCACGCAGCTCACTATCACGACGAAAGTCCATTCCTTACTCGAAGGCATTTCAAACCACTTCACAAAGTGGAATAAGCATATGATGGACACCAGGGACTGTCAGGTTTCCTTCACTTTTGGGCCGTGCGATTACCACCAGGAAGTGTCGCTCAGAGTCCATCTGATGGAGTACATCACAAAGCAAGGCTTCACGATCAGGAATACCAGAGTTCATCATATGAGCGAGCGTGCCAATGAAAACACAGTGGAGCATAACTGGACTTTCTGTAGACTGGCGCGAAAAACAGATGACTGATTCTGACTCCACAGGAGCCACTTCAGTGATTAGGAACTTAATTGGACAGTAAACCCGAGAGAGTCTGGATTTTGTCTAAAGCAACAATGTGCGCTTTTTTTTTTTTTATACGACTATTTATTGTTTATCAGTAAGGACTGGAGGAGTTTCGTTCTCTAGCAGCTCTGTCCTTTTGTCCTGTTCAGAAAAAAACATGCATGTGCCTGTTCAGTCAAGACACCTTTTTGTTTGAAAGAGGGAGTCCGAAGAAATTAGTACAATAGGGTATTTTGTGTCATTAACACAATTCTCTGACGCAACTTAAAGTGCTAAAATTACCTCCGTTTAAATGGTTTCTAATCCATCTAATGCTATGATACTGGGAGCAAGAAACAAAAAAAATTAAGATGCAGTTGGCGAAAAGCTGCTATCATGTAGACTAATTTAGTTTCTAAATCAATAAACAGTATTGTAATATTCTAGGAAAACAAATCCCACCCTTTAAAAGTACTTGATAAGTACAGTTTCTTACAGTTATGACAACTGTTTCTTTCTATGCATATAAATCAAGCAACCAAATATTATCTGTAGCCATGGAAATATGATTAGAAATATTTATATTGGATTCTAAAGGCAAAATGTCCCTGTGGTAGAATTCATATTTTTAATGCCTGGTGCAATATTATTCCCAAGTGTAATGCCTGCCAGCAAGAAGCTAATAAAAATGTGAAATACAGAATACTATTTTGTAGTTGTTTTGTCTTCTAGAATTCTAATACTTAAAAACCCCCAAACCAACCAAACAAAAAACCCACCCCAAACCTGTTTTGCTGTTCTGCAGAGTAGTTCAGATGCGCTGGTAGGGCTCCATTCTCCTCCATTACTGATGCACTTTTTTTCTTTTTTGTCTTAATCAGTTGATTCAACTGTCCTCATTATAGAAAAAGCTTGTGTTTTCAAAACTGCGTTATGACTAACAGAAGGATGGCAAGTATTTGTACCGGCTAAAGGCATAGGGATGGAGGGAACACAGAGTCTAGATACTTGTAGCTGCTAAATAGCGTTGTCTCGTTTGTCAGCAATTTATCTAGTGACTGTATTTATAATTTTAACTGCGGAGTGCTGTTTCTGATGATGTTTGAGTCAAGGCACTCAAGTTCTGTGGTTTTACTCAATTTTGATTAGCCATTTCTGCTTATCGTGGGCACTTTTCATAGTTATTAATAGAATTTCTGGTTGTGATCTAACTTGAGTGCTGTTGGGAATAAGAGGGTTGATAGCCGTTTTGATGAACGGATCACGTTCTTCCATGAAATTCTTGTCACAAGTATTTCTTACCACAGCTGCTTTGCTCTTTGGGATGTAAGAGGGGTCTGGATTTCTATGGGGTTTTTGAAGGTGGGAGCTTTCCATCTCATCTCTCTCATGTATTTGTCATATTTTGTCTCCCCCTCGTCATACATTGTAGGGGTTTTGACTTTTGTAATAGAGGTAGTAAAGCTTTATTCTTCCTGTAAGGGGGGAAAGAAAAGCTGAACTGATAAAGCTCAGGAAAAGTGGTTGTTTCTTTCCTGCAACATGTGGTAAGAAATATCTGTGTTAACTGGCATTGAATTATAATCACAAGATGTTCTTTGCAACACTTCATTTGCTAGCAAATTAATGACTGGCCTGGATCAGTCTGCCCTTTCCATAATTATGAAGTATAATAATTAGAGAAGCAGTATTCCACATAATACACTTTATTGGAGCCCAAGATTTATAGGAGGACAGTACGAGCGGCTCTATTAATGGGAAAGTAAATTCTGCAGACTGGAGTTGGTATTGGCTTTGTCTGAATCTCCATTAGCCAGGAATACTCCACTGCTGAGCAAGTGTTTTAATTGTCCAAACAGACGTACTTTCTAATATACCTCTTGATCTAAGAGAACAAGATGTTCCTAGAAACCAAGGACCGTCATTTTACCTCCCTTGGGTGTTTCACTAAGATGTTTGTTTTGGTTTGTGGGGTTTTTTTTGAAGGCACTGTACAGTTATAACACACTGAGAGGGAGCTCATAATGTGATTTTTATTTTTTTTTTTCCTTAATCATCATACAGTGGATTTAGAAAAATAATAGGAAAGCCAACTGGCATAGTTTGATGCTATCAGGACAATTCAAGTTAGAAACCAGCAAACCCTAGGCTGTTTCTGACTATCGCCTCGTAGCAGCAGGTACCACTCAGCATTGTTGGGCTGATTAAATGCAAATGGCTGGCTAAGAATCTTGTTTCATACTTGTTTCAACTTCAAGTAAGCAACTGATTATTAATTCTGATTAGTCATTACTGATGCTTCATAAATGTACTGCTGCACAAAGAACAGGAGGAAATATGTGGCCTTCACTTAAATCACGGTCTTCATAATTTTGATAGTGTGTTGTGAAGAAGTGGCTTCAAATACCTCTCATAGGCTGGGCTCATCTGTTCGGAAGAAGATGGAAGGGGATTAATGGTAATTAAGAAGAAGAAAAAGGCTGTAATTTTTTTCTTAAGAATGATCTCTGAAATATGGAAAGCTAGACTGTTTAAAAAACCCCCACCCAAAATGAAACCAAACAGCCAGCTACTTCAGCTATGTGCAAGAAAAAAAAGCTGTCCTTCATAACCAGCACACAATATTCATCCCAAATGGAACAGCATACCTTTTAACTTAAAAAAAAAAATTAAAAAAAATGCTTGAATTTGAATGTTTGCTGAAGGCAAATTTTGTGTTCAGCTGTAGAATTTCAAAGGGTTGCTGATTACCACAGTAAAAATCTCACTTAAGGCAAAATGAGTTTTCAAACAGAGCAATAGCTATTTACATCATGCAGAATTTCACATTACTCCACAATATGGATGAATTAAGAAGTGAAAGTAAAGTGCTAAAGACCATGAAGGATGAAATTGCCTTGTTTAACATTTATACTCTTTCTGGTTAAACATATTATTAAAAAAATTAAGTATTGCACTAGTAAAAGTAGCAGTGTATGCAAAATATGCTGCAATTAGGTAAACTATGAAAACAGATTTTTGTTTTAGCTTATTTTGTACAATATTACCAAAACCATGTTGGTGGCACGTGGCAGTCCGGCTTCCTAGTACAAGCTCCACTACTCTGGGGGCTGTAACTCATCGTTAGATTAAATGTCGGAGCTAAGACTATAGGCGGCATAATTGGAGTATCACAGGTCATTGTTCAAAGTGAGATACTAAGAATTAAAGGCTCCACTTTTTATCTGTATTGCTTTTATTAGAAGAAAAGCAGACAATTTCTGCTCTGGCTAATGCAGAAGCTGCCTGGCTGTAATCCAGCGCCCATACCTGCTTGTTCGTTGGTGACTTCTGAGCCCACTCGTAAAGCCGTTGGTAAACCTGCCCGTCGTAACTGCCGAGCGCAGAATTCAGGTTCTTATCTGTGAAGTCAAACGCGTCCACTAATGGCACAGCATCCTTCCTAAGGAGTAGATGAATGACACGGATATTACTGAAGCGGGTATTGCTTTGTAAGGGAGGAAAATAAGTCAGAGGAAAACTTGAAAGTCAGTTGTCCAGGTTCCTCAGTCTGAAACGCTTGTGCCAGTTTTTCCCCTTGTGCACGCTGTGGGGAAGATCCTGCTTGTGTTGATTCCTTGTGTTGAGGCATGTTCTACTAATGCCCTGAGCAGTCTGTATTGTTGAACCGCTATTTGCAGGGTCTCGTAATCACCTGGCGTCCACCTGTAATTCCCTAATTTAGGACTCAATCTCATGTCAGATTTTTTCTCAGCAAACTCTGCCAGTTCTTGCTTTTGGGTTTTTTTTGTGTGTTTTGCTTTTCTTATGTGTTTGTCTTACAAAATAGAATAAGGAATAAGGTTGCTATTAGATTGATGTGAAATCTTTGCTGATCTCCAACCTTCATCTACTCTTGAGTATTTGCATTACCTCATCATGGAGTGTCAAGGTTTTCTACTCTCTTTGTGTCTGTAAGAACAGAGCAACCCTGAACCACACCAAGGGTCCATCTAGTCCAGTGGCCAGCCTGAGAGCAGTCAGCAGGAGGTAGCTAGAGCATGAGGACAAGTGTGTAATGACAGCGTCTTCTCCTAAGCAGGAGATGGTTTCTTTTTCCTCGTCCTCCCATTGTCCTGAGTATTGGAAGTTCTGCTGTCCTTCCCCCACACCTGAGGTGTGAGCGGTTTGCTCAAATGTTGGCATCTGCATTACCAGTTTGTTTTGGGGAAGGAAGGACTGTTTGGGGGTTTGGGAAAGGCTGGGGTTTTGTTACAGACTGGGAGGTGTTGGTATCCTTTCTCCTAATTGTAAATAACTGACTTTAATTAGACAGGTAAACACCCACTCCATTCTTGAATCCTGTTAACTAGGCTTGGGTTAACCCAGAGAAGCTGCAATGAATTCCAGAGACAACAATGTGGTAAGCTTTTTGAAAACGTTATGTTAAGCTTATTGTTTAACTTGAATCCTGTGAGCAGTTCTGAAAATGCTGCTGTTTGGCTCAGTCCCGTTCAGCTCTTGGTCATGGTGTATTCTTGCTTCTTAAGGTGACTTAAGTAGCATTTTACACACAGTAGTAACTTGCTTCTCTGCACCAACAATGCTGAGTATGGAAAGATGAACCCTTTGTAGAAAAACCTTTGCGAGTGTTGTGGTAAGTTAAAAACTTAGCATGTCTCAGAAGTCACTTAGTAATAGACGGTGTCGAGCAGGTGCATCTGAACTAGCTGTAGGCAGGATTGTTTGGGTACCAGTTGCAAGTCAGCCATGGCAACAGAGTAGGCTGTATTAGCTGCGGCTTAAGCAGATTCTGCAGTGTATGATCAGTTTCTGTGGCTGCCTCCTGCCAGTGCTGCTCTGACTACCTATTTTCCTGCATTCGCTCTACTGCAAATGGGAGGTTTTGATTTATAATTTAAGATTTCATGTTACAGAATCTTAATTTAGAGATTGCAGAGGAGCTGGACACTTAGGTCTGGTTTGCTGTGAAAACAAGCTCTGTGTAGATGTTTCAATCAATTTCTAGTGCTGCTAGGCAATGAAAATAGAAACTGAGTGAGGTGAATTGACTTTGGAGATGTTGCCATAGGTACAGCAGCACCAGTTTATGTCTGTCGCAGGGACAAACTGAATAGCTGTGTGTTTCCTCTCACGCTTGAGCAGCTTACCGAATGACAGCCAGGAGGTCCAGGTACGATGCCGTGACCATGTCCATTTGAGCTCCGGATATGTATCCGTCATGCAAGAAGACTCCTGTGTTCGAGAAGATCCCGTGTAATGCAAAGAGGTCACAAAGATGTTTCATAATCTTCTGGATGCCAGCCTTGGTCTCAAGTTTTTCCACAGTTTCTGCAAAGTTTTTCACAGTGATGTAGTGGCAGTGAGCCTGGGAAACAAACGCAATCAACAGTGAATGCACCTCAAAACACTTTTAGTAGGCCAAATGACTCAAACGTTCTTGCAAAGAATATAAATCCTTTTCATTTCCCTGGCACTTTTCCAGTCTGTATTCTTTGTTTGCTGGTTGACCAGGCCTTTTGCATTCATGTCCTACAGCAACAGTACAGAGAGAATTGGGGGTGTAAACAGTCAACACTGCGGTATTTGTAAACTCTAGAAAACCGCTGCAGAAATCATGGTAGTACTTATTCTAAATATTTCTGATGAATGCCCCAAAGAGTTTGTGTGATGGAAACACATTGGAATGTGCTTGTGTGAATCTTGGTTATACACCAACAGGAGAAAACTCTTGTTGAAGACCTTGGGCTCAGGGAGTGTCTATAGGGCTTCAGCTCTGAAAACATCTGTTGTCACAGAAGAACAACCAAACGTACCTCTCGCTTTTGTGGTTTTAAGTAAACTGATAATTTCTGGCTCAGACAGCGGTAGAGTGTCTCACAAGTTACAGAAATATTAGCTGAGGTCCAGAGCAAACGAAGTAGACCGACTGCCTGTTCGTGGGGGTGACTCTGGCTATGCTGACATTACTGCGGGTGGTTGGTGGTGTTGGTATGTGCGTGGGTTCGCTCCCCCGTGGTACAGTTCTCCTCCCGGCTGTGGGTGTAAGCACGGCACACCTGTGCTGCAGCTCTTCCTGCCGGCACAGTCGAGCAGCGTGGAGGCCAGCGTGGACTGTAGAACCTGCTTGAGAAGCTGGGTGTCTACTCAAGCAATTAATCTGTGTGGAGTCTGTACGCAGCGTCTGAGCCACTCGGCTGAGAGCTGGCGGGTGTCAGTGCACATAGCTGCTGTGCCAGTTGTCTGGGTGAGTCTCCAGGGAAGGCGTGGAATAAGAAGTAAATACATAAGTGCCCCAAGAAGGCAGCAGGCTATCAAGGTTTTAAATTTACAGGGGAAACTCAAGGGTTTTGGGTGACTCTTCCTCTCCCTGAAGTACCTAAGAAGCTTTGGGGGCCCAGATCCCATTTTCTGAAGAGTCTAGAAGCACAATTGCCACTGACAATACCACAGCCAGCCCCCTGCATATGTTAAGCTCTTTGGAAACAGTTTATTTCTGACTAGTCCCGTGTCTAGGTGCTCCTTCTCACCTGTCAGAGAGAGCTGGATTCCAGCTCCTCCTCTGACACATGGTCTTCCCTGCTCTTCAGTCCAGAGACCTTGGCCACCAATTGAGTGGGTGCAGGATGGAACAGCTTGTTCAGGTTTGTGCGTGGGTAGTGCTGGTCAGAGCCTGTTCTAGAGGTAATCTCTGAATAGGAACATTTTGCTTCAGTTTCATTCCACTAAAAATATATTTACATTTAAACAATTATTGGGAAAGTATTTAAAAAAAAAAAAAGTCACTTTGTTTATAGGAGCTCTCCTTTATTTTTGAGGCAATTACAGTTTTTCTGCTCTTTCAAGCTTACAGCTTTGAATCCTTGCTGCTTCCACTGAGTCTGTGTAATTGAAAACGGGGGGTGACGCACGGCAGAGAGGTGACGCCAAAACATGCTGCTGCTGAGATCATGTCTTTGCTTCCTTACTCAGAGAGTTCTTGTTTTGAAGGATTGTAACCGTGCTTACCAGTATGAGCGGATCAACGCTTCCAATGGTTTTGGAAGGATCTTGGCTGTTGCTGAGAAAGCGTTTGACTCATCAAGGACTTCACCTAATTGACTGACTACAAGGGGGCTGTTCCCTACTATGAAATCACCGAGATGGTATCGCCACAGTTAGGTGCGTGAGGCGTTCCTTTTTCCCTGTCAGGGGCTTCTTGCTAAGTCCGTTTTGGTTTGGGTTGGCTCTGGCTGAACGGTAGATTACAGCAAGATGTTTTCCATTAGCAACTGAATGAAGTTAAAATAAGCCATGGACCTGTTTCAAAGTGTTCCTTCCCTCAGTTTAGGAAGGAAGGAAAGAAGGACTTCACCATAATTGTAGAGGAATTGTGCTTAATTGCATAGTAAAAAAAGGATTTTGTTTTTTGGAGATACTGAAGTGTATTAGTGGTTTTGGTTTTCATTTAAATTTAGGGCTTTTCTCCCCTCTTACTTTCTTTTCTGCTCAGTTCTGTATTAACCCCTGTTTTGGGGAACGAATGCTGCTGTCCCGATCCTATTTCAGCTGAAGGCATGCTGGTTGCCTAATCCATATGAACTGGGAGTTGGTTTTGTGTCTGCTATTAATTTGACTTTGCTGATTTGATTTTTCTTTCAGCAGTAATTAACATTGCACTTATCCCTGCTTTTCCCCGCAGTTACCTTTCCTTGTGGGAACGGTAGATAAGAAATACCAGGCACACTTCACCCTTGCTGTGACTCCACCAGCTTTGAGTAGGGCGGCTTTGGGGAGGCTTTCATCTGGGAGCCAGAAACGCTGGATTCTTACCAAAAAATGAGTGTTAGCTGGAGATGGTGGCATCTAGTTGGGAGGAGATGGGAAGTCTGATTCTGCTGGTAGTGGCAGCATAACCATGAATGTTTTTTTGGTTTGGGTTTTTTTTTCCCCCTCCCTTTCATTTCTAGTCCCTCTAGTCTTTTTCTACCTGGCCTATTCAGACAGCAAGTTCTTCAGATCAGGAGTTGCTTCTTACTATGTTTTTTCTACCATGCAGGCCACAGCGATGCCCTGATCTTTGTGGTGTCCCTTAGATGCTCACAGAAAACAATAAAGAGCACTGAGACTTCAAGCTAATTGTGCTGTTTCTGTTGCATATTGTATCATAAAGACAAACATCAAATAAGCAGATAAATTTTACTAACCTTTGCAGCCTGCACCAGCTGCACTGTGCACTGGTTCCATGCGTCGTGCTTTTTGACTCCTGACTGAATCAAGTCCTGTAGTTTCGCTGCTGTGCTGCTTATGAGTCTGGAAAATTGAAAAAGCATATTGCATATGAATATAACAGCCCACATGCACTCATTTCATACTCGGGCTCATGTGTCATTGTATGGCAAAATGGCATTTCTGACATTTGAATTTATCTACACTCAGTATGAGTGAACTTGGATAATGCAAAATCTAAGTACAAATTGGGAAAAGCAGCCAGACCACCCTGGTACTGAAGGATTTCTGCCTTCTTAGCTTCCAGGGTAGTTTACCAGGGGGTCTGCTGAATTTTTCTTGGGTTGTGTGTGTGTAAGGAGAGTTTGCAAAGCAAAATAAAGTGGTGGTAATATCGGACGGATATTACATTATGTTTCTGTTTTTCTACACAGGGATCCAAATCCTGCCCCCATCGACACCGAAGCTTTCGGAAGAATGGCTCTGGTTTTACGCTGATTGGAATGACAGCAGGGCTGTCCATCTGTTTACCTGGTTTTCAGAGGTGACTCCTATATGGCCCATAAACGTGCACATTACACCAACGAGACCACTCATGACACTGTTTTTATTTGTGTTGAGTAGTTGAGTGTGTAGTTGAAAGGCTACAGACAGAATGAGAGGCTGTGTTTGCTGTGGTGTTAATTGAAAACAAACATCAGTTTTTCAGGTATGTGAAATTTTAACTTTTTGGATAGAATCGCACAGGGTCCAGTTGCCTACAGGTTTTACTGGATGGCAACATAGTGATGTGGTCCGGGATACACTTAAATAGTGCCATCAGCTCGGTATAGAATCAGCTCTATGGAATATAGCTGTTAGGTAGCACGTGGCTTAAAAACTTCTGATGTTCTGAATATGAAAGCTTCCTGTTGAACAATTGACATGGCTGTTAATCCTGTGTGAGTCTTCCTTTTCTCTTTCGGGAGCAGATGGTGTCAGTTCTTGTGTAACTCATGTTATTTTACCTCCCTTTAAAGCAAGGCAGAAGCTGAGCTCTTAACACATTTCTGATGTCAGAGAGAGAAACTCTGTCTCTCATCCTCCGTACTGACCTGAATGCCATGTGTTGATAGGCCTCAGTGTAAATATCTGGACTGAGAAAATCCAACTTGTTCTTGGCTGGACACTTCCCGGGTTTCACTGCAGCCAGATAAGTGACAGATGGTGGAACGGGCTGGCCAGCGCTGGCTGCCATGAAGCATTTGATCAGGAACCTGGGAAGAGGGTAGCAGTCAGAGCAGGCTATGGTTGTGATCCCCACACAGCAAATGGTCATGCAAAAAGTAAAGTGGGCTTGGGTGAGGAGCTGCATGGTGTGACCCATCCATCGGTGGTCCAGAATGGACTTGAACAAGTAATGGCCGTTCATTTTGCATGTTATGCACAATAACCTCATCAGTGATGAGTCTCAGAGGTAGCCTGTCTACCATATTTAATGCTACAGCAATCTGAAGTGATGAATTTTTAGGCAGAAACTTGCTGTGGCTATTAGCAGTCTCAGCAGCACGGTGATAAGCTACGTTATCAACTTTGCAGCCTGAGTCTTAATGCTCTGGGAGTCTTAATGGTGGTCTGGTCTTACCCTGTGATCCCCAACACACGGTCACCTTATGTTAACAAACATGAGAGCCTTTCTTGGAGCTAAACATGTGTCCAAAGAGCATTCCCCACTCACTTTACTGGTTTTTGGCACCTTTGGTATGACCTAACCTAGACTGACGAGGTCTGGAAGTGAAAGGTTACAGCATTTCTCGTGACCTTGCCATTGATCTTGCAAGAAGAGGCAGTCATGAGTGCAGAAGTTTGTGCATGCAAGCACAGAGCTTTGTGGTAGCACCTCTGTCCCTGGGAAGTGCACTGGTTTTCTCCTTCTAGTAAAAGCACATGTTATTAAAAGTTCAAGCAGCTGTGGTTTCTTTCTCTTGTATTTCATCTACTCCAGATAATCACCAGTCTGTGTGTTCAGAAGAAAGCGGTGTTCTTGGAGCATGACTCATCTGCTTTCAGTATCCAACAACTCTGCCTTCTCTGAATCAACCTCTCTTTACCAATATCACGTTACATCAGTTGCTTAAAAAAAAAAAATAGCAAAACTTGTATAGCAATGCTCTTGCTGTGCTACTAGACAAAGAGGAAAATGAGGTTATGCAGAACAGCACCTGCGTACATCCCCAAACCAAAAATAGAAGAGAGAATCCGATTCCCACACACCTCCATGCCTGTTAGACAGAAGACATGAATAGTTTATGTCCTAAGTTGTATTTTTAGAAGGTGCTGTGAGAAAGCAGTAGCTGGTTTTACTGGTTTTGGAGAAGAACTGGTAGAGGTTGAGTAAATGAGGGAGCAGGCTTTTAGATGAACAAATTTGAATTGTTACCTGGCAGTTTGCAGGAGCAAAATGGTGTTTTCCCCTTCATAAATACAAGAGGCAAGTATTTTTGTATACAAGGAAGGGAGTCCACTCAGCAAGGAGTAGCCGTGTCCCCCGCATGCCCGGAGGCAGATCTCCACTGCTGCAGTGCAGTACTGAGTAATAGTGGCTTTAAAGCCTGAAGAAAGTGCGTGGAGCTGTTTAAAAAAAAAAAAGGCAGGGTTAATGGTGAAAGTGTTCTAAAGCAGTTCTCCAGTAAGTTTCCTTTCTTAATTTTGTGCAATTTCTGGGCATGAAATCCCTGTTGGATCCTCCTTTGGGTGCTGGTGCAGCACCCAGCTGCTCCCCGAACCTGGCCTTCGGTTTCTGCGTGGCATGCTGCACACCCGCGTGCCCAGCACACTGTGGTCGGTTTATGCATTTTTGGGTTCTTCTCAACCAGCAGTGGCTTTGGCTGCCCTTGTTTCAGAGCGTGTTTTCATTTCAGGCCTCCAGTTGCAAAATCTTATGGTCTATCTAAAAAGTCACATTTTTGTTCTGGCTCAGAAGTGAATATTTGCATGTGCATTTGTAGGTGAAGTTGCGAAATAACGCTTTGCACCACCAGCTACTTGGAACAGGGTTTTTGTAAACACACATGCTTTTCAAGGACTTTTCACTCTGCAATAGTTCCCAAAGCCAAAAATTTGGGACAGTAAAGCAAACGCTGTTGCTGACTGGCTGTGGACCTAGGGCAAGCCATTTGATCTCTTAGTGCTGCCTCTTTCTCCAGTTACCTAGTGGTGAGAGGAATGCTTGTCCAGTTTGCTAAAATACTTTGGTATTCAGAGACGAGAAGTGCAACCTTGGTGCAAACCAGCTGTAGGAGCGAATCCTGCTGCAGCTCACCTCTGGCAGCCTGTCGAAGTTGTTCTTCTGGATCTCGCTGTACCCCTTTTTGAATAGCTCCTGCAGGTAGTCGTTGGTGAGATGAAAGGCATAGGCTGCTGCCAACTGGGGCAGCAATTTCTCTTGCTGGGTCTGGTAGTCAAGGATTTTTGCTTCTTGTTCCCTGTTGGAAGACAGCTGATGAAGTAGAAAAGTCCAGACACAGACATAGCTACTGTTAGTTTACCTATTGCATAATGAAAACCGGCATTTTTCATTACCAAGAAGCAGTATGTGAACAGGACTGAGCTGATGTCGTGGCAGCAAACCTGCCCAGCTTGCTAAGCTGTTAGAGAAAAACAAGCCCAACTCGGAAAAAAAAGTGATTTTTCTGCCGTGTTGGTGAACCAGCCTACCAGAGGGGAAAAGTCTCCATGTGATCGGTCCGTGCAGAGGGGGAACGGGGACTGCAGGAGAGGAAGAGGATGAAGCCTTTGAGGACAGCAAGTTGTTTGGTGTTGTAAGGGGGGCGGTGGCACTGCACCCTGAAAAACTGCTTTTCGAACTGGATCTTTGCGACCCTGGGTGTAGATAGGTTTCTCTGAAAATATTTGAGTCTAAATTATTTTAAGCTTTCTGAGCTTTTTAAAGATGTTCTTTATTGCTTTTGCTGTGGTTAGTACACCCAGGACTTCGAATGATGGAATTGGTTATTATAGCAGTTCAGCATGCTGTGCTCTTGTGTTTGGTTTGTGTTTGAACCAAACCACGTTCTCATTAGGATCTTCTTGCTTTTGAAAGGATATTTAAGCAGAAATTTTTGAAATCCATTCAAATGAAAATACCTATTTTAAAATTACAGGGATTCTTACCAGAGTAATAAAATTCAGTGTAGTAAAGTGTGGATATTGGAATTGGGGATGTTGGAAGGTATTTTAGTGTCACGCCAGCTAGTAGGATGCAATGGAATAAGAATTCAGCAACTTGTCTGCTTCGTCTGGATTCTGCTGAGTTACAGGATTACATGGGAAGGCCAGTTTTAAGAAAAATAAGTTGCCTGTATGAAGCACTGAGCTATTTAAACTGTGAAACTTATCTCAGAAAGAACTGTAAACATTCTCTTGTACTTTGACGTTTGTTAATGTAAGTAACGGGGGAGCGTGTTTGTAATACCCTATCTGGGCCAGGAAATAAGCCGGTGATGTGCTGAAAGATAAGATGAAGAGCAGAAATACAGACTGGCGTGGGGGAAGATGATGTACGGTCCCCTTCCCACCGCTGCGGACTTGCGTGGCATTACCCAGGCTTTAACTTGGACTGCCGGCGAACCGCAGAGTATCGGATGGCAATGGTGCAAGCTTTCATGAGAGGTATTAGAACTTCGTCTGAAATGAGGGAAATGCGCACTGTAGTCATTGTGAAATAATTAATCTTCTGTGATCCCCATCTTACATAGGTGCCATCTGGTTGAACCTGGAGTACAGAGAGGATGTTAGAATCTTCGATACTTCAGTACTAGGATGGCTGTATAACCTCTATGCATAGAATAAAAAATGGACATTGAAATCCTTAATCGAATGCAAACCTAAGTATTTTTATGTATGATGGATGAAACATATCCATCTGAAGAGACAAACTCTTAGTGCTCCTGGCTCAGATAGGTTCTGCCTGCCCCATGATCCCCATCCTCTGAATGTGGAATTCCTGACACCGAGTTTCATTTAGGATTCAAGTAACTTCTGCCCTTGCTAAAACTGCAGAGACTCGCAGACAACCTCAAAGGAAGATTTTTGTGCTAAATTCAAGCAGGTCCCTGTCATCTCTCTGGCTGTGCAATGAGAGTCTGATGGGCGCTCCTGTGATGTGAGTCTGTACGTACCTCGCAAAACTTGTTCAGCATGTTCTCCCTGGGGACACGCACATTCTGCAGCATGAGGTACCCATTGTCAATGTGCTCAAAATTCATCTTGGGACCAATGTCTCCTGCAGTTATGCCTGCAGCGGGAGAAAACATGGCCTGCTTACTTCCACTTGAACTTTTTTCTCCCCATTTTGCAGCAGGCTGGGGATCTCAAAGAAGGGCGCGTTCAGCTCTGCTTCTACCCCAGCATGGGTGATCTTGCCTGAGGGATGAAACAGGCGTTTGAATGCCTCATGGTTTTTCTGTGATCCGTCTGTTACTGGCGTTGGCTGGGGTCAGAACTGAGGTGTTAATGTAGAGGTGGTCAGAGTAGCCCGGGGTTCTGGTTGAGAAGAGGGCTTAGGATGCAATAAATCTTCCTTTAGGTGAACAGGTTGGGGTTAATGATAGCTATGCCTTGGGTATTTGCCGTGGGGCTCACTCTCCCTGGGCCCAATGCTTTAGAAAACATTTAAAGACAAAAAAGGCAGAGCACCTGCATGAGTGCTGTGATGTCTGGAGTCATTTACCTGGGCAGAGTGAATGGTCCTGAAGGCTGCGTATCTGCACGATGAAGGGGTGCACACCGTAGCACTTCTCGTGGACGTACAGCTGAGCAAAGACCACTGTGTGGGTTGCTGACCTTCCCACTATGAGAAGAAAAACAGCCCCATTCCCTTAAGACAACATACAGTACAAAGACTTCCCCAGTTAATAGCAGTTGGTGCTAATTGTGCGTTAGGTCTCGCTAACGTATGGGTCAGCGTAGGTGTGATCCACAGATGCTGGAAGCTGGAGACTGCCTAAATCTGTGCTCTGAGCTTGCTCTTGGCTCTCAGAAGTTGTCATCCTTCTGCCTCTGTTGCTGCTCGTGAGGCTTGGATGAACAGTTTGCATCAGCAGATGAGAAAAAATAAGTAGCTTAAGTTCTTGCTGTGCTGAGAGAGTGGGATGTGCTGTGGCTGTGAGAGTCACGCCAGCTATGTGCTGTGAAATACCTTCCTGAAGGGAGCCATGAATTGCACACTTGAATCCTTTATGCTGAGGCTGGCTGATGACTTGAATCCTTTATGCTGATCCTTTACGTTGATGACCTCCCTGCAGTTTTTGGTCATCTGAATATTAATTACAAAGAAGAGAAGAATGATTTCTGCAGAGGCAGGAGTTTCCCTGAGCGAAGTTCTCCAGCCCTGCCGCCCAAGGGCTTTTGATAGATGATGGTGGCACTGTTCTGGCCTTTGAACTTTTACAAAACCCTTTGGTCTCTCACTTTCCTCTCCATGTGTGCATCTCTTACTGAAGTCCTCTGCTAGCACCCGGGCCCTCAAACACAGAGCTTGAGCAGGGCAGACCGAGTAACTGAAGGAGGCAAATGAGGGAAACCAAAATATTTTGTGTGGTACTTACTGTCTCCAGGCCACCACTTCATGGCAGAGATCTTTGGCGTGTTCAGTATAAACTCCTGTGTAGTGATATCAAAGACTGCTGTTGTTTCCAAACCCTGAAGATAAGTTCCTTAAAGACAAAATAAAATAATTAAAAAAAATAATCTCCTGGAGTATCACAAGGATGGAGAGAATGGAGGATCCCTCAAGGCTGGTGTGGGTACTACCAGGGTTTTGTGGTTTACCCTCCTGATGAGAACTGTGGGACGATGCCTGCACCAACCCCACACCATCTCCTGCAAAGATCTCTTGAGCCACATGGTACTCGGGCAAGCTGCCTGGTTCATGGTGACAACCATCAACCTGGACAAGCTGCTTGGCTGATTCCCTCCACCGATGGTGACGGCCTGGTATCTAACCATGAGCTTTCACCCTCGCTCGTTATTTTTTCCACGCTGGCGAAACCAAAGCCCGCGCATCTCCAGCTTGCAGAGGAATGCTGAGGACATCAACCTCTAACATGTTGGGGGCATGTTCCCCCTGTGCCCCAGTGAAGCGTGGGCAGCTCCAACTCAAGTTCCTCTGAGAACCTGGGCCAGAGCCTTTTGTCCTACAGAAACACTGAGTTTTCTTTGCAGCCTTACCGTGCCCCAGTTCGGTCTGGGCATAACTGCCAATGAGCTGATACTGAGTGGCGAGAGGCATCCATTTGGCGATCTGTTTGTCGGAGCCCAGCACTGAAATACTTCTCATGAAGACGCGGTGAAGGAGAAACGCAATGTCTCCTGACACTGCCCTGTGGAGAAGGTACAAGGGGTATTTTTACATGGATGACGTTCCAGGGATGCAACGACTGAGGCAGTGATGCTGCAGTGGTCACCAGACAGTACCACCTGCTGCCTTTTGATTTCTTCATCATCATACCTTACCCAATGTCCAGCACCCAGGCAGTATTGCAGGGTAAATGCTCTTCCAAGCTGCTTTTGTTCCTTCTTTCATAACATAGTTATGAAATGTTGCTAGCTCATTATTTCACTTGCTGTTGGAGGAATGATCTGTTCTGAATAGCAGATGCTGAGCTCCTAAAAACACAGCCCAGCTCCAAAGCTCCTGTGGCTCTGATAGCCCATGAGCCCTTTGTATCTTTATTTTACTTCATAGGATTTTTTTTTTTTTCCTGATTATATAAGTCAAATTTTAAGGCTGAGCTAAAGAAAACCCCACCACCCTACCCTAAAACCCCCAGACCCTGGCAATTTGCTGTGTAGACTGAATTACGTATGTAGGCATCTGAGACCTGGATTTCCTGAACTCTCCCATTCCCATTCTGGGGAGATACCTCGGTACGTTGGGTTTGTTGCTGTACTATTCCCTGGGTGTTTGCTGTCACTCACTGTCAGTGAACCATACTGGGGTTCGTGGAGATTTGACCTGACTTGAGATGTTTGGATGTTTTTTCTTGTGGAAAAATTTAAATACATCCTTTTAACCTCTGGTTTATTGTCTGGTCAGGTCCTTCGGCATCTCCATCTCCTCATACATCCTAAAAAGCACTATTCCAGAAGCTGTGTATGGGAACTTGGGTACAGTAAGTATGGTGCAAATCAGAAACTCATTTGTTTTAAGGTTGGGTTTTTTTTTTTTGTGTGTGTGTGCAAGAAATCCCAAGAAAATATGAGGAATATAGTCCCTCTTCCTGGGATTCCTCAGAACACGGTTGAATCACAGATAAAAGTACACCTAGAAATAAGTGGCTGCGCTGTTCTCGGTAGCTTTGTATGGCTGTTAGTGCATTGCTTTACTGCAGTGCTCTAGTGAGCATCTCATTCCAGATAGATAGCTTTTATTTTTAACAAATGACTGTGCCCTTTCTTTTATACTGGCCCTGAGAGAGAATCAGTCATGCTGAAAAAGTGGGGGGAATAATACGAACGAAGACATTAAAGGGAAATTGCTTTGATTAACAGAGAAAAGACTTAATGAACCCTTGGCAGCCCATCCAGAAATAATGTTACTTTAACTGCGATTTAAAAAAGCTGGCTTTTAAATCTGTGCAAGTGATTCACTGTGTCTGGCACCAGGAGGCACCAGGGCTTTGTCAGTAAGAGCTTGGTGCTCACCTGGTGTTTCATCAGAGGAGAGCTGTCCTGCTCTCAACCCAGCAAAACCTGGCAGCACAGGGCTGGCCCTGCCGAAGCCCTTGGCATCGGGCAGGGGGCTGGTAAAAGCAAACCTAGGTGGGAGAGGCGGTTGAGTTTTGTCAGGTTTTTAAAAATCCCCTGGGATTTCTTTTTTTCTTCTGAGGGAGGAGTGGAGAGCTGCTTTTTTGTTGTGAATATAATGATCGGGTCCGAGAGTCCTGCTCACTGTAGGCGGTGAAAGCTTAGCATAAAAATTATAACCCTTCATAGGATTAAATATTGGAAAGTGACTTTGCGTGTCAGCAGTGATTTGTAAGGTGCAGGCATCGCCCTTTTGAATGATGCTTTTGAACTTGCACTCCTTACTAGGTATGTAACCCCACCAAGCTAACAGAGTGCACCGGCCAACAGCAAACTGGTACTTTTATTTAGCAAAGGGGGAAAGAAAGAAGGATAAGCAATTAAAATTCAAATGTGGAGCTTAACTCCATGCAAAGTGTTAAGAAATTTTTTTTAAGGAAAGGATTGTGAAAAATATTTTATTCCATTAAAATTTATTTCCTTTTTCTTTTTTTAAAATACAATATGGATTTTCTAGATAAATTAAAAATGACATTTTCTCTTTCTGGAAGTCAGTAGCATAACTGAAACAGCACCACTCTTAATTCTGGTTATACATTTAAAAATGTCTGAGGGGTGGTATGAGAGCTGTAGCACAAGTCGGGAGCTTGCTGAAGTGGAAATAGCACGTTGGGGATGTGAACTGCTGTGATCTATCACTCTGTACCCATGTGCTGCTCTTTGAGAAGTTCCCTGCTGTTTATCATCATTTTCCCTTTGCCTGAGCGCGCTGCTAAAGTAAAAACCTGCAGCACGTTTGTATCAAAACCTTTTCTGGGAAACTGTTGGCCTCTCCCAGCCTTTGCTAAAAACGATTCTTGTTGGTATACAAAACTTTTAACAAAATTAGTTGTACATTAAAAAAAAAAGAAATAAAAATCACCTGTAAATGTACTTAAATTCAGGTCCATTCTCATTCCATCCCATCTCGTGCATCTTTTTCTGGAGATGAACAGCCTTTCTGACTGCTGCTTCGTACCTCTCATTCTGGCTCTGGAAGTACTGGTTTTCTCTGCTAAATACAGGGTCACGTTCGATGGCTTCGACTGCAACACAACACAGAGGAGTTGGTTCTCCTGGAGCTGGGGAGCTGCAGGCGGTGCCTTGAGCCCCGCTCCGACGGCGCAGGCAGGTCTGGGGGCGTGCGTACCGACGCTGTGACTTTTTAGGGTGACTGCAGGCAGGTTTTATTTTGCCAGTGCCTAACTCTGAGAAGCGGTGGGTGTGGGGAAGGAGGAGGAGAGGGGTGGCGAGTGGGCTGAGAGGGGTCTGTTAACTGGGAATAGTGACCCTGCGGGGTCAGGCGCCGTCCCTGGTCAGGGCGTCGGAGGTGACTTTGTGCCTCTGACAGAAAATGCCGTGGATCCCTCTGTCTCCGATGCCTGTTCCCGGGCTGTGACGGCAGCAAGAGCCGCGGTTAGCCGGGTTTTGCCCAGAGGGTGGTTAACAGCCGGAGCTGCCGGGTGTCCCACTCGGCACCAGCACTTTGGCTCGGGACTTCGCTGGCCTTTCACAGCGTTGCAAAGCGACTCTGGGGTTTGCTCTTTCTGTGTCAGCCTGAACGCTCTCGCTGCTCCCTTTTTGCCTTGAAACCTTTAAGTCCGTGCATGTTTAAGGTTTTACTGAACTCCAGTTCCACTCTGCAGCGTGCGATCCCAGTGGCCTGTGCCGTTTTCATTTGGTAAGGTTATAATATGGGAATAGTTACAGAGGCAAAAGAACTTGGTTTTTTTTTTTTTGGTTTTTTTTTTTTTTTTAAATCTGTCTCTTCTGAGCATGCAGTCATTTTTCACCCCACCCCTCGCAAGCGGGAGACGAC